TGACAAAACCCTACCTTGGCAAGTCATCATCAACTAAATGATCAATAGGTCATTGCCATCTATGGTTTCTACATCTGATCTGCATTAATGTGTTGCTGTACTTGATTGTCCCAACAAGGCTCAGACCTGCTAAACTTACCTTCATAAAAAATTCACCTTGATTTACAATTCCCCATTCAGCACTGTACATTTGAGTGTAACGCTTTCAAACTTTTGCTCATGTTCACCTGTTGATTGGGGAACAGAGATATTTCAAGATGAATATAAAATAAAGACGGCTTCAGAAGTCTGAGTAGCTTCAAAAGCATAGAGAAAATTACAGAGTTGTGCATATGCTCAGTTTATTTTAGCACCCTGTCAATGTGCATTATTGGTTTCTTCCTTTTACTGCAAAGTAGCCAACTGATCATGTATTTTCTGAATCGCAGGCATTGCTAACCCCAAACACACATACATACTGTAGTGAGCAGGGGTGGCGACTCACTGAGCCCAAGGGGGAAGAACCCCTCTCTGAGCCTGGGTGTGCAGAGCCAGGTCCTGCCTCTTTAATTCCACAGAGGCCAAGGGGTGGAGGAGGGAGCATAAAAGCCCAGCCCAGGAGCTCAGTAGGCACAAGAGGAAGCAGAGGCCTGCCCTAAGCTCCCAAGCCAGGAGGGCGTTGAGGACCTGGCAGAGGTTGAGGACTGGCTCAGACCGCCGGGCCCCCACTCCGAAGAGGGGACCGTCTTGACCCTACCCCAGAATGCAGAGGCTGCCACTCTAGGGCCCTGGGTTGGGACGCCGTGGAGTAGGTAGGTCCTGCGTCCCCGTCCCCCCCACACTTTTGGGTGGCAGTCTCCCTCTTCCCACTCATGCCTAAGGAATTACATTTGTTTAGCTGCCCCACCCTGAACCCCGGCCTGGGCTGCACTGACTCTGGACCTGCATTTGCATTACTGCCTCCCCGGGGCTTAAAAGGGGCCTCTGGACCGTTACTGATAGGCCTGAGCTCGGGAAAGGGGCCCAGGACTAAATTAACCAGCTTACACATACACACACCCTGTCCACGTAGGGTTACTTCTGCCACCCCCAGCTCAAAGGGTGCAATGGGTAGGATTGGCAGAGGGTTGAAACAAAAATACCCCCCCCCCCCCCAAAAAAAAACCACCGGGAAAAAATGTTGAAGGAAAAAAAAAGTGGGAGGGGACTTTTTGAGAAAAAAAAAAAAGACTCCAAGAACCTGGCTCACTGCTAGCGGTTACCAGGTAGTCATTTTAAAAAAACCCAAAAGCCTGGACATACTTCATGAGGGGGAGAGTACCGGCCAGGAAGGGAGGGAGGCCTGGAAATAGCTAACG